ATATATCACATCTGCAATATGCTTAATGACAAGAATCTTGTCAAAACGTAACAATTTTTTAACACTTTGACTTTAAATATAAAACCATAGATAAAATGCCCACATAGATGCACGTTGTAAAGATATGATAAATTTTATCATCATTTTTATTGGAACTTTTTGTCATTTCCAAGTATGCAGATTATGTCATCACGCAGATGCAAACAAAAAACTTGAAAGTGATTTTTCATGTAATTTTAAAATGTGGTAGAAACATTCCTGTTTGGACCTCTGTCAGTTTGGAGGCAGTTGCCTTATTCTGGCGACATAAATCGCAAAATTATTCATTTCCAAAATGTTAACATACGAGTATGTCAGTGCGGTTTTGGGACTACTTTCTGAGCCAACTTAAGCGAATTAAATAGATTATATTCATGTTATAAGTTTCGTTTTCATCGTTACATAGATATGTTTGTTACGCGTTTTGTTAAAGTCTTATAGATTTTAGTACATTTGTTACGTTTTGTCATTGTAGTGTCGTTTGCATTGTAACATGCCGTTTGTGAAGTTTTCTTGTTGTTTTCTTGTTATCATCGTAACATAGTTACGTTTGAAACATCTTCTTCCCGTAGTTTCATTTTCAATGTTACATATATACGTTTGTGACGTTTTCTTATTGTAGCCTCGTTTTTATTGTAATTGAAACATGCTCACGTTTTTGACGTTTTGATAGTGTAGCCTCGTTTTAAAACTGACATGGTTACGTTTGTGACGTTTTCTTATTGTTGCCTCGTTTTCGTCATTACACGGTTGCGTTTGGGACGTTTTTTTCTTTAGCCTCATTTTCACTGTTTCATAGATACGTTTGTGACGTTTTCTTAGTGTCGCCTCGTTTTCAGCTCTAAGTTTGCGTAGCCTCGCATTTATCGAAACAGGGTTTGTTTAAATCACGTTTTCATCAGAAAACGAATGCGTTTTTAAATGGTAATATTATGTTCACATTTACATGTATTAAGTTGTTGTCTTATTTTCACCCTTTGATGATATATCTAACGACAAATTGGATGTATAATTCAATTGATATTTGGATTATTCTTAATTTGTCGCACACAAGAAAAAATGAAAATTCGGTTCATGCTTATTGAATTATCATTATTAATATACATCTAGATATCTTATACATACGATTTTATGTCTGGTTGCTTTTGAACATATTATGACATAATTCATGGAGGATATTCAAGTGTTTTCTATAAATACAGGATTTATTTTCATCTAGTGGCAATACAATAATTATTTTATGAGTGGCGGTAGCCATGAATGAAATATGATAATTTCCATACCACAAGATGATAATAAATCCTGTATTTATAGAAAAAAACTTGAATTGTCTATTTATCATGTAGATTTCTCTTCTTTTTTTGACATTACCATTTGAAAGAATTCTCCTTAAATTATGTGTATTGTCTGAATTTAGAAGAAAGTAGTCCGGCAAGACAGCAGTGAAAATACGGAAAATATATTTCACTGCAGTGAAAAATAGCTTTTTACAGTGAAAATGCTAAAATTGAAAATACGCATTTCATTTCATCAGTATTTCTCAATATTTCACTTATAAGTATATGATAAAACAATTTCTTTTTGGCTTGATTTTTAGTTTCTCTATTTTTTTCATGGGTCAGCCTACGTGTAAACGGATAAAAGAATACCTTTATTTATTTATTTTTATTCATTTTTGTATTTATTTGTTTATCTTGTTGTTGTTGTTGTTGTTTTCTAGGGGGGGGGGGAATATATCTGTATTAGAAATCTGGTGGTACATTTAATGCTATAAGCAGTGAACAATAAGCAGTAAGCCGTAAGCAGTTGACAGTATGCAATTGACAGTAAGCAGTTGACAGTAAGCAGTAGGCAGTTAACAGTAGGCAGTAGTTAGTCAGAAGTAGACAGTAAGCAGTCAACAGTTGGCTGTCGTTTATGGAATTCCATGTTATAGTCCATGCATTTATTAATTTATCAGTGAATTCCTTTAAATGTTGTTCTAAGAATATATATGTACCTGTAAACTATTAAAGTAAATTAGGAGGCAGAAAAATACCAAGGGTCCAACCGGGTTTTTAACAACAGACCTCTTGGTCCGTAGGCGGACACCTCAACCACATCGCTGAAAGGTTTACGCAACAACAAGGCTGTTGGAAGTGGCCTATATACCACTGCACTATATTGTGTTTGACCTCCAGAACAGCAACTATTTTGGCAACTGAATTAATTTTTTGACAAATATAGATGTAATAGGTCGTCCATTTTTATTTTAATGCTATAGGCAGTGAATAATAAGTAGTGAGCCGTAAACAGTTGACAGTAAGCAGTTGACAGTAAGCAGTAGGCAGTCAACATTTGGCAATTCCATAGTATATTGATTCATTTATGTTCCCAAAGAAATATTGAGATAAATATAAAAAGTTATGAAAGTATTACAATTCTGTCATAAACCAAAATCAATACACCGCATAGTTACGAATATCGATCAACAGATCAATTGGGTACTGTTTAATACTTACATGTAGTAACGCCTATCTAGTCAGATTATGAACAGGTATAATATAAAATATATATTAAGATACAGTTCCCCCTTAGCATGCTCAGTTATGTCAAATAATATAACAAATATAAATGTATATCCAAATGTTTTTGTTGGTGCATTTTGTGAGAAAGATATCCTCAAAGAGAAAGTTTGATCTCACACCTGGTCCATGGTTGAGAACCAAATCCATCCCTTTTATCAAAAACCGTTTCTATGGCCATACAAGGTTTTTGCCCTAGACCGCGAAATACAACTTTTGTTTGCTTACTAGGATATGTTTTTATGTGTAAATGGTATAAACTTTAAATGTTTTAACACTTACTTTTTGTTTCAGTTCCATCTGTTACTTTCCTACCAAGTGCGACATTTAGCGTCAAGGGGTTGCGACATTTAGCGGCAATCGATTTTTGTGCGACATATAGCGGCAACGTTGCGACATTTAGCGGTAGGCAATTGCGACATATAGCGTTGATTGTGACATATAGCGTCAGCGTTGCGACATTTAGCGTTAGTTGCGACATATAGCGGCGTTGCGACATATAGCGTTGCTACAGTCATTGTAACAGTATCTACAGCTAACATTACCACCACTTTCACTAATGTCACTGTAACAACATCTACAACTAACATTGCTACCATTACCACTGATTTCCCTGTTATAATTTCTATACTTAACATTACCACTCCCACTTTTGTCACTGTAACAATACCAATAGCTAACATTACCATCACTACTACTGCTGTCATTGTAACAGTATCTACAGTTAATATTACCACTTTTACCACTGCTGTCACTTTTACAGCTACTACAGTTAACATTACCACTCCCAATTTTGTCATTGTAACAGTATAGACAGCTAACAATTACATTACAACCACTGCTGCCGCTATAACAGTATCCATATCAACATCACTACCACTTCTGTCACTGCTGTAGCAGCTAAAACTATCAGCATTAACAAAACTGGCACTGTTAGAGTATCTACAGCTAACATTACCACTTCTAAAACATGGTCAACAATCTACCTCACGTTTTGAGAGAGATTATTTCTGAAAGAAATTATAGGCTAAAGAACGTGAATCACAAAACAAATCTACTCCAACAACGCTCTGATGACCTTAAAACATTATTAATGGGCACACTGTCCTTAATATTATAAGTTGTTAATATAACACTTATAGTCAGCTGTTGTTTTGTAACATGTGCATTCATTTTTACTATTGCCTCTGAAAGACAAAAGTCAAATTTATTAATTTTATTTGACATTTGTAGACGCAACCTTAGCAGTTATATACCCGTATATGGCTACATATTAATAATTGTCTTTCTTTTTGTTTTGCTGGAACATTACCTTTAAGTATGTACAAAATACTTTATTCGTCCAGTATGACTTTACAAATTAAGTTTTATTGCTTTTAATTATATCTTTTATTATAATACATCCGATTAAGGAATCTTAATATAGAAAAGAATAGTTACATAAAAATATGGGTAAAAAGAATATTTATTTTTTAACAAAAATTATTACTCGATAAATGTTGGAATCTCTAAAACTTAACACTTGATAATTTTTTTTACATATCGTTAAAGGTGCACACCAAGATAATAAATAGATAAATAAATAAATAAATAAATAAATGAACAATACACAACCACTATAATATAACACACAGAGCCAGATTCCCCTCTCTTATACGTAAATAATAAATTTAACAATATTTTGATGACCTTAACATTGTCCACGTTTTCATGAAGAAGAACGAGTACTACTGACGAGCCTTTTTTTAAGCTTAATTTTAACCTTCACCTCACACAAGCCATCTATTACATGATTTATGGAGATTATTTTCTCATTTACCAACGGGAAATATTTACTTTGGCACATAAAACAATGGTACAAGAAGCACCAATTAAGCACCTTGGAAACGCTGGTATTTCACTTAAATACCTGGGTAACAATTTTTCAGGTATTGTATGACATACCGTATTTGTAAAACGATAGATTTCCATACATGCATGTGTTGTTGTTCTTAGATAACAAATATCGAATACTAGAAAAGTTACCGTCGTTATTCTCGATATCGCATAATTTAGATAGAATTTATTTGTTTGATAGTTGCATATTTAACTAGCTTTGTTTATTGACAACGTTTTGTTTGTTAATATGATTATCAATAAGGGGAACTAACTTTGAAATGATTTGAGTGACCCAAAACATTACTACAACACTTGAGGAAAACGAAAGTAAAAAGATGCTATTTATAACTGTTTTCCTTGAAAGGAAGGACACTAACGCATACTATATGTACTAGGCTGGAGATGTCAATTGTTTCACATCCGCTTTAGAAAATACATGAATGAGGTTTTCTATTTGAAAACGTGAAATGGCTCGTACAATGTTGTAGTAACAAGTAACAATAGAAGGAGAAGGTAAACAATGATTATTTTTCAAGTTAATTTATTTGTTTTTATACGCTATATACATGTATTTGCTCTCTATATATAAAAACAAAATTTTAAAGAGTGATTTAAATAAGGTAAGCAATGATTACTATTCGTGTTAATGCGTTTGATATTCAGGCGTAATTTAAGCATGCATTCGCGTTGAGCAACAGCTTAAAGTGTATAAAGTTATATACATGTATTCGCACTCTATAGATTTAAAACAAAGTTTATATTGTGATTTACATGATAACAATATACCTGAAATTAAAGAATTGGTTTGTCTATTTTACAGAAAGTTTGTGGGACATAGTTGCGATCATTTTCAAAGCTACTAAAATTTGGAACCTATTATTTCATTTCTGGTCATTATATTATATTTACATACAATATACATGTACATTAAACAATATTGGCATTCTATGTTAAGGAATAACCAGAAGTTATGAAAACCACACACATTTTCAAAATATTTAATCAGAAACAGAATAATTTTATATACTTTATACAGCCATTATGCATCTGAAAAGTTTTTTCCCTTTAAAAGCTTTTAAATGTTGATATTCTTTTACAGTATCCAAAAAGTTTCACATTACATGAATCACCTCTTTTCAATCTGATGCTTTGACAATAAGTACATTTATAATGAGTATTTTTTATGGAAGTCAAAATACCCCTTTTTACTTTTATGACAAATTATTTCACATCCATCGCTACTGTTTACGAATTATACGTACGTCAACTATTGACTATAATAATGATCTTATTCAAACAGTTCAAACAGTTAATAATTGAAAGTTATATCACAATATTGTTATAAAATTAAAATATTTTTTTGTTTACGACAGTATATATTCATGACTTGTGTTACAGTCTTTACATAGAGTTACTCGTTTGAGTTTTTTTCCTGTGAGTCAAACAAGAACCGTTTGCTTTTCCTATAAATATAACTCAAAACATTAAGCTTTTCCTATGAATGGAGCTACATTAGTTTATTTTAGAACGATTTTTGGAAGTATTGAATAAATTTACAAAATTCTATATCTGTTAACTAGTTAACGGAAGAGAATTTCATATCGACAACAATGTAATTATATTAAGATAACCAAACGGTTACAATTGTGTGGCGATATTGTTTAGATATTCAGATTAGATAATTAAACATAAATGTACCCGAATACATAGGCCAATACATCACTTTTATCACATGTTGTCCTTAAGTGTTCAGCAATCTAATACCATGTAGGTGGTTATAGATATACTTTGCTAATTTCAGATACGACATATTTAGATAAAAATTGATAGTTGTATATAACAGTACTTTATAAAAGTTGATAGTTGTTAACTTTATAACAGGACAGATCAGGTGAATATATATCTCTCATTCTTTTCTTTTTAATATCTAAAATGTAAAGAACCCTTTTTTAAATGTTTGAAACAGAAATACAAAGTATTGTCAGGATAACCAAAGAATGTTTAATGAACAGAACAATATTATATCATAATCTGAGTTACATGGATTTTAAATCTAAAATCCGCTTCTTTAAATTAAAGTCACAATTAGAGTCAATGTAATCATCATTTAAGGCGTTCTTACTCTAAATCACGTAGGATATAACACCTATGTTCATAACAATATAAAAAACTTAACCAAGAATTTGAAAGATTTGTAAGCATGTAGTATTCTGACGTCAATCTTTTGAACACTTGTTTCTACATATCTATTTAGTAACGCATATTATCTTTAATTTTTTGATACATAATATATGTTTCTCGGAAAAGATAATTATGTGCTATTTAAATGAATTTTTGGGTAATACACAAATCATATATGTATTAACGAAACATGCGTTCACTTTAGTACAGTAAATGTTTAGTCCGTAAAGACATATTTTTTCTTGTTAACTTTAAATGACATAATGGCTTAATTTAGTTTTCCTGTATGGTTTTCAGAAAATGGATGTATCTGGACGTAAACAAAGAAAAATTCACGAATCAGTAGACTCGGGATCAGCTGAGGATTCTGACTTCAAATGTGAACCTTGTCGTACCATAGATCAGTGCGTTGATGCATATGGATATTGCGTTAATTGCAAGGATTTCCTTTGCGAAACATGTTGTAGTTGCCACAAAACGAGCAAAGCTTCCCTTAATCATCACATTCTTGGAAGAAGTCAATTTAATAATATTCCTGCTACAAAACCACAATTTAATGAATGCAAGGAGAGTTGTCAGTTGCATCAGGAAGAAGTAATCAAGTTTTTCTGCCCTATGCATAATGCTCTCGGATGCAATGACTGCATGACTTTAGATCACAGAACTTGTGAAATTGAATATATTCCCGAAAAGTGTAATGATATATTGAGGGAATTAGGGAAAAAACTGAAAGAGGCAGAGGAAGTTTATGAAAAGGCTGACAGTTTAAGTAATATTATGAGTGAACACAGTGACAAAGTTGTCAGACGAATCGAATTATTCCGAAAAGAAATAGACGAACGTTTTGATCTAATGCAAGAAGAGATTATAAAGCGTGCTGAAGAAATGAAAAGTAAAAACTTAGCAACTGTAAAGGAGGTAAGTGATACATGTGAGCATATAATTTCTGATGTCCACAAATGGCAGTCTAGTCTGAATGCAAACAAATCAGGAAATCACGCGCAACTCTTCATTGACATTCAGAGGGCAGAAGCTGCACTGCAATCATATCAAATGGATATAGCAAAAGATCAGATTACCAATGCAAATATGCGCTATTCATTTCGTGAAAATACTGACCTAAAAACCTTACTGGCAAAGGAAAACATCTTTGGTGAGCTAGTTAGACATATTGATTACATGACAAGAAAAGAAGACGTCAATATAAAAACTGAATCTGATACGAAAGACTGTGATATAACAGGATGTGCTGTTCTAAACACAAGTAAATTAATAGTGGCTGATAATAAAAATACGAAGGTAAAGGTAGTATCGCTAGAGAATAAACGTGTACTTAAGGAGAAGCTTTTAGATTCAAAGCCATGGGATATTGCTGTATTGAAAACTGATCAATTCGCAGTAACAATGCCACTCATTAGAGAAATTGCTGTGATTAAAACAGACGAGAAGTTATCACGTGACCATAGTATCAAAGTTGATGGAAAATGCTACGGAATACATTTTTATCGAGATGCTCTGTATGTTGCCTGTTCGGATCCTCCATGTGTTGTTGTCTTGAATACACACGGCGATATTCTGAAAACAATGCCAATGAACTTTCTTCCAAAACGCGCAAGTCCTTATGTCACTGTTGGAAAAGACTCCAGATGTATGTTTATCAATGACTTTAGTCGAAACAGTGTGGTTTCTGTATCGATGCAAGGAATTGCATCAGCTCCTTATAAGCATGGGGATTTTCAAGGTCCGCTCGGAATTTTAGTGTGCAATGATGGTACATTACTTGTCTGTTGCAAAGAAAGAATTTACCAAGTCGAGAAAAATATGGAGCAAGGGAAGATGTTGCATAAAGAGAAAGCCCACCTGAACTCAATTTGCTACAGTACACACACTGAAGAAATCTATGTCGGCTGTCTCGGGAACAGTTTGAAAGTGTTCAGCACACATTAGCACTAAACTTTTGTTTAAACTGTTATTACTATAAAATATATAAATGAAATGTATTTTACATATGACAGATCATCAATGTGTAGGAGTATGAATAGAAAATGTTTTATTAACACTAATAGATAAGTTACTGTTAGCGTATATGATTGTTTGATTAAATGATTGAAGTGTAGTCCCATGCTTTCTAAATGGTAATCAATATTGAAATGTTAATACAAAATCAAATTAAAATAGTTATGTATGTCCTCAATCTATTTTCCATTTGCAATTGTCAGATTCCAAGTGAAAACAATCAATACTCTAAGTATAGGCTATAAGGTCGAACCTTAAAACTCATAAGCCATTGAGTAAATTTCTAATAATACGAGGGCTGTCCGGAAAGTTCGTAGACAAGGCTATAAAATCATTAAAAGCAGTCATATCAATATAATGATTGAATATTTTGCTAAAGTATTTATCTGTTACAAATTTCTAAATTAAAAAAAAATGATAAAATAAATATTCGCAAAGCGCCGATCACCATGGCAACATGATCACCGAATCATGGAGCACTTTGATTTCATGACAAGAATTACTCGAATAATAAGTTGCCAAAAGTAGTTATTTTAAGCAAACTCTCGTTTTAATTTTGTGACATCATTACATTCTATTACATGATATTGAAGGCAAATTATGACGTCATACGCAGATAAACAGCTTGTTAACGATGATTATAGGCAATGAAGGTGCATACATTTTGAGTTGCAAAAATGACGTAAAATTCACGGACGGAGCAACGTAATGATATTTAACTTCATAGCAACACTAATATGACACCAACTGAGATTTTAATCTTTACTTTATTTTCTTTAAAAACAAAACCAACCATAAAATGTTTAATTCAACTTGTGTTTAAATGTCAAACAAGATTAAGAAGCGGCGATGACAGTATACCGTATAAGAAACGCTCCAGACGACCAAAGCTAGCATGGGCAAAATATCGTATATTTCGTTATGTACAACAACCTTTAAAAAAGACAGACTTCTCACACACTGTATGGGAACCAGTGACATTTTTGTTTTTAAATCATAATTTTAAATATGAAATTTATAAAGTAAAAAGGATTATAGCATGTATTAAGTATACGCCAGACAGGTACGATGACTGTTGAAATCGGAAGAAAATGAATAGCAGGTAATTACATGAAGTTAATTTGACGCCGTTGACGTTGTCAAAGTGCTCCATGATGATATATATATATGTTGTATGTAATTACTGTTGAAATACAAATGTAAGTCACAGTTCAGTAATTTTTGATAAATGTGTTCGCTAGATATGTATATTTTTGCTGACAGAATTTGTACAACGTATTTATTGTTATACAATAAAAAATGAAGAAGTATATGAACTTTCCGGACATCCCTCTTATAACTGAGAAACATGACAAAAATAAATATGAATATAAGGGTTATCTGTTATAGAATATTAATAGTATGAACAATAACAACCTTAAAAGTGTTATAATTGTGTTGACTTTACTATTTTAGTAGGACATATCCATAAAACATCCCTTATGTCATTATGTAATGATTAAAATAGAAGTATATGTTACTATATGTTTGAAATTCATTTTCTTTCATTATTTCTGTTACCTTTTCTTCCTATTGTCGCCTTAACGAGTGGATAATTCAAATTACCGGTTACATGTTACAATGTAAATACACGTTGAGATAATGGATTGTTGTCGCAAAAAACCCTCAGCATTTTGAGTGTGAATGATAAATTGTAAAGGTCTCTTTACCAATTGATTAATTTTATCACTTTAATTACCAATAGGAATTTAATCAATTAACTCCCTTATAAGGTTATATTTAACTTTTATCGTCAGTTAAGAAATACAAATCCAGAGTTGTAGATAATAATAATATATAATGCGACTTATAAGTGTCCTATTGATGAGATTACAAGTGTTCGTTTTTATGTATCGGACAATTATTATTAAATGTAAAAATTGGTCCTTTTAACAGTTTTATGCAACATATTTCATAAAATGTCCGACTGAAGTATGTATTTGTGCATATTAAGTAAAATTGAAATTGATGCGATTTTTGCATATTTTAGTTAGAAATACGGCTAGTTTTATGTCAAAATTTATGTTTCATTGACGGGGAAATGTCTTGCAATTGGGGTGATTTTGAGTTATATAAACGAGATAAAATCAGGCAAATTGCATGATTTGAGCTTTAATAGATAGTGTACGAGGATTGATCAAAAGGTTCTTGGCCCATGGTACTTCCAGTTGTCAGAGAACAAAACAAATGGTCTTACTTTTCAATATAATCGCCCTCTTCATGAATGCATTTTGCCTACCTGTGCTCCAAGTTGTTTAACCCTTTAAAATTGAACTCTCTATTTTGGTCCTTAAAGAACTCATTGACTGCTTCCATGACAGTTCCATTCCTTCCAAAACGTCTACCACGAAGCTTGATTTTCTTATTCGGAAACAGGTAGAAGTCAGAGGGGGCCAAGTCCGGAGAATATGAAAGATAGGAAAGAGTTTCAAAGCCGCAGTCTTAGACGTCGTTTTAATTCGTCTGCATAGTACGTACCGTTTATGGTACGACCTTGCTCAAGATAGTCAATCACGATTATCCCCTGACTATCATAAAAAAATTAAAGCCATTATCTTCACTGCTGATGGCACCCTATTGAATTTCTTCGGAGGGGGTGAGCCAGGGTGCTTCCACTGCATGCTCTGTTTTTTTAATTCTGTATCGAAGTGATGGACCCATGTTTCATCCTGAGTTGCGATCCGGTAGATAAAATCAGGTTCACCCTCCTAGCAAGACAAAAGATATCGTGATATGTCCAGCCTGGTCTGTTTCTGGTCGTCAGTCAACTGTTTGGGGACCCATCTCGCGGAAACCTCTGACATGCCATAGACATCAGTCAGAATTTACCTGAACTGAACCAAAGTTTATACCCACTTCCCTAGAAATCATTCACAGGTCTCGCCTTCTGTCGCACATGACCAGATCGTGCTCAGCTTCGGCAGTTTAATCATCTCCGATGCTCTCCCTGTTCCTCTTTAATTCAGCAGCCGATTTTTTTTCACAGTGCTACAGGAGGGGGACTCCTTCCCAAGTGTATCCATGAAGTCTTCATGGATTTCCTTGTGGGACATTCTTTTCTTACTGGGGTACTGAATGACAGCTCTGATTTCAACTTTCTCTATTTGGTATAAATGCCACACCCCTCTACTGATCAAAGTGTGTCTATGTTACTTAATCAATGTAAAACCGCGTGTAATTCGGTCAGTCATCTTCAATAAGATATAGGTATCTACGTATCGTGTATAAATGTCAGTGTAGTGGCTAGAAGTATATCGGGCCGAAAACCTTTTAATCATACCTCTTAATATCCTCTCATTTGCATAATTTTGAGATTTAAAAAGGGGTTTTGATTTTAAGTGATTCGTTAATATTTGCTATTTTTTGCACTACAAAAATTGTAGAAATCATAAAGATACTAAATTTGCATGTAATTATTTGAGCATCGTATCATCGACTTAAAATCCTTTCAAGTATTATTGCAAGTAAATTGCCATTGTATTATTAGCTTGCGGAAGAAAAAGATAACAGCTCTCGATAAGAGGGGAAGTTTAATTTTAAGTGTGATGAAATGAGGCGTGCGCATGCGTAAATAAATGATTATTTTTCACGTGAATGACGGAAATTATGATCAATAAAAGAAACAATAGGGCGCTTCCGATATAGAAATTAATATTTCAAACTGGAGTAAGATAAGATGAAATAAAGTGTTTGCTCTTTGTGACTTTCAATACCTATTTCCGCTTTGTAAACATAAAATAATCTTTAGACTGATAAGAAAACTATTGTCACGCTTTAAAAGATATTGACATTTTATAATACTAAACTATATACATGTAAATTGAAAGAAGCAAAATGTATAAATATCAATTTAAAAATTTTATAACAGGTCCCACTTCAGAAAAAAGAATTGTTTGCTGACATGAAGTAATTAATCTCACTTTTACATAACAGCAAGGTTTTTATTAGTTTTTTTCCTCTCAAATACGATAATGAAGAATGTAGCATTTTTCAAAATTCCACATCTTTGATTCTTTGATCCCTTTGGTGTATTTACGTATTTATATCGATAGTAGAATACATACCACAAGGATGAGACCATATACTTATGTAAACATGCATTTTTTATCTTTCATAGAACTTTACATTCTATAATTTTGGTTGCATTTATTTTTCAATTTTTAAGATAATTACTTGGAAATGAATAAAAAAGTGGAAAAAGGATAATGCGCTGTTTACTATTGACAAATGCGAAAGTTCTACCTAAGTATTAGTTTGAACATTTCCTATGTTTGTAATCAGATCAACTGTCCGGAGATACATACAAATATATAGTTTTACGTCTTTAGACATATGAACCTTAAAATTAAAGGGAAGCAACTCCTAGTATTTGTCGCAATCCATAATTAACAAATTTATTGCCCGTATACGTACTTAGCGTAAAATCATATAAATGTTAGGCTGTAAGTATTATTTTTATTATACTTTGCATTTTAAATACTTTTAGCCTTGAATTGAATAAGAAATTGTTGGTATTTTCATTCTCGATACAAGGCATTATCTAACATACTTAAAATGCATGTCAGATACATAAAACCCTACATTGCTACAATCCTTACAGCATTATCTATGTAACGTTTTGTCTTTTTTGACTTTTTAAGGCTAGGCTTCATATCATTGACTGTTGCCAGGTCATATATGTGGATTTAAAAAAAACTTATTTCGTATCCATTATGAATTATAGGTCAAATTTAAGTTTATTGCCTCTATCACATGACTAATTAGGGGTCGGGGGTCTATCCCTCAACAGTCTTAAAATAATATGAGCAATCAAATTTAAGCATGATAAGAGAACATAGTATTATCATTAAGTAAAACACGGCACAAAATATACTCCAACATGAATTTATTCATCTGTTATTCTAGGTATGCTCGAAGCTAGGTTAGAACACTTGAAAAGACAAAGGCCGCTCCTAACATCAACATACCAAAACGTTTTTGGTTAAACACATATCATTGCCAGATTGGTGGAAAACATGACTCTTTTATACCTATGATTAATGACATATTTTTAAAACAGTATACCAGTCCTTCTTAAATTTGCCAAGATATCCAGATTGGACATCTTTTTCTTTACAAACCTTTAGAACATTTATATCTTTGTATGCCCCCACAAAGTGGGAGCATATAGCGTTGCCCCTTTGTTGATTTATTCACTATATACTATGTAGAAAGTTTGTAAACGCAACTCCTTTTAAACCGGATGGCAGATTTTGCTTAAACTTCCAGGGATGATTTACCTTAATGTGAAGATGGTAGTAAAGGAAAGAATTTTTGCTGCGACCAAATTTAAAAGAATTATGCCCCTTTGTTGATTTTTTCACTATATACTATGTAGAAATTTTGTAAACGCAACTCCTCTTAAACCGGATGGCAGATTGTGCTTAAACTTCCAGGGATGAACAACCTTAATGTGTAGATGGAAGAAAGGAAGGAATTTTTGCTGCGACCAAATTTAACAGAATTGTGGCCCTTTGTTGTTTTTTCACTATATACCAAATAGAAATTTTGTAAACGCAACTCCTCTTAAACCGGATGGCAGATTGTGCTTAAACTTCCAGGGATGAACAACCTTAATGTGTAGATGGAAGAAAGGAAGGAATTTTTGCTGCGACCAAATTTAACAGAATTGTGGCCCTTTGTTGTTTTTTCACTATATACCAAATAGAAATTTTGTAAACGCAACTCCTCTTAAACCGGATGGCAGACTTTGCTTAAACTTCCAGGGATGAACAACCTTAATGTGTAGATGGAAGAAAGGAAGGAATTTTTGCTGCAACTAAATTTAACAGAATTATGGCCCTTTGTTGATTTTTCACTATATACCATATAGAAATTTTGTAAACGCAACTCCTCTTTAACCGGATGGCAGATTGTGCTTAAACTTCCAGGGATGAACGACCTTAATGTGTAGATGGAAGTAAAGGAAAGAATTTTTGCTGCGACCAAATTTAACAAAATTATGGCCCTTTGTTTATTTTTTCACTATATACCATATATGTTGTCAGTGGGGGCATCCGTGTCTTTGGACACAGTTCTAGTTCTTTACAAACCTTTAGAACATTTGAAATATAATTTATTGCACCAGCAGGAAATATCATTGTTTTATGAGTTTTTCATTTAAAAATGTATATTTTGACATATAAAAGAACTAAATTGATTTCAACATTTATTGTGCTGTTTCCTTTAATAGCATAGGTTTGACATGTTTAGTTTACCCATACAAATGTCGTGTATTTTTTTTTATGATGCATTCCCAAAATATATGTTCTATAGTTTCATCTTGAAGATTAAAAGGCTACATAAGGACTGTTAATGATTATATCTTATTTTGAACTAAAGATCATTCGTACCTACAATTCTATGGAAAGGTAACTTTGAACCATTGCATATAGAATTGAATTAGAAAAAACTGCCATGCCTCACAGTTGGCAAATACGT